ACCAAATTCAAACTGGTTTTAGAAAAGTTAAAATGGATTAGTTTATAATTCAATCCATATAATTGGATTTTAAATGGATCTAAATTGACTTTTTAAAAATCCAATCCATGAACACCCCTATCTACCGGTTATTATTTGCAACAGACCCGGTACACTTGCCATGTTTGAAGGAATAGTCTCAACATAAGGGTATTTTCATATAATACAAAAAATTTAAATAAATTTATATATTTACAATAGCTATTTAGCGAGGAGTTCACATATAAGTTTTCGAATAATAATTACATTCATTGAAAAGTTGTAGCTAAACAGTCTAAACTTATTACTAAAACCTAGACTGACAAAAATAATTAACGCTACAATTTCTCAAAAATGCTAACTCCGTCGTCCCGCAGCCAAACCTTCCAACTTGAGAAGTAGATGCATTACCTGTCCATTCTGTTCACATACCACCGTACGATCATTGCAGCACACATACCAACACAATAAAAATGCAAGAGTAAGCTTATATAATTAACAATCATAATTGTAAAGTATGAATATATAAAATGATTTGAACAACTCATATAGTTCACAGCATTTAGCACAACAACTTCAATCAATTGATGCAACATATTTAGCCTATTCCCAGCCCATTTAATGCAAATATAATGATTAAGTTCTATCTAGTTTCACAGCCTAAGTAATCCAAAGGAAGTGTTTTTCAATTTGAGAGCGACTCATCTCGGTATCTGGATCCAGACACAGCATAGCTCAGCGTTTTATCGTTACATGTCTAACCACCTAAACATGTAATTTGGCTCTAAAATGATAAGATAATCAATATGATGCAGCACAGCTAAGTCAGCATAATACAACACAGCTAGATAGATTACCAACCTTAACCTTTTAGCTATACATACACTTTCATCCAGTTTCAGCATTCCAAACATTTATCATACAGCAGAGAAATACACTCAACCATACATACTCTGAGTTTTACTCTAAAGTTTGTTTATACAACAACTCATCCTTAGATAGAATGAGATTGTCTATCACATGAACTAAATCAACTTAGTTAAGCTCCCTTTACCTGAAATGAGTTTTCCTCAGATCAAACTTCACGTGAGTTGTTCCCAAGTATAGAATTGATGCTTGCGGTTTAGATTTCTTCACTAGATCCATACTAAACAGCGGTTCTCACTTGGACAAGAAGAAATTCGGCCTTGAGAAGGTTTCTCTAAGGTAAGATGGTGAGAAATGAGCATTTCTGGGCGCTAAGACTCCTTAAATACCCCTCCAAGTTCATGTGCTCTCACTTGAGCGAGCTCTTCTCTCGCTTAGGCAAGCAGCATTCTCGCCTCTATCCATTTTTCTTGCGACTCCTCACTTGAGCAAGTACCTCTCGCCTGAGCAAGGTTGCCTCTCGCTTGAGCGAGGGGATAGTTGGGGTGATCCTATTTACTCTCACTTGACCGAGAACGCTCTAGAATGCCTAATCTTGCATGATTTATTCTCGCTTGAGCGAAACACCCTGCACCCAGAACTCTTAATCTCTCTCTCGGATGAGATTATATTAGTTCTTGATCATACTCCTTAGCTTATCTCATGTACAACTTGCTTAACAACCAATCTCTAACCCGCTCTGCACATTACACTCAACAACGTCATAACATAGCACTTGAGAATATACTGCTCCTTACTCGGCAATCATACAACTTTTACATTCACATTCCAATATATAAATAATTCATACACTTTAAGCATACATAACACAATTCAAATTGAATAATAAGTACACCTGAATACACCGATCTGACACCATCACTCTTATGGTTATGATCCAAGGATTCACCTTTTTCTTTTCTTATATTTTAGTATGTTAGGTTTAAAAAGTAAGAAAGGGCAGAAGTTTAGTTATGGTAGGAGATTCACATTCTAAAACTTAAAATTGTCGTGTAATAATTAATCGTAATAAAATACTAATTTTTTAATGATAATTAATTGCAATATATTATTTTGAGAAACATTGACCAATAAAAGTACATATTAGAAATTTTTTTAAAAATTTTATTCTTTTAAGAATATCAAATTTAGGAATATAATTTAATTGGAAATAATTTTTTATCAAATGATACCTTTAGGTAATTTTATAGTTAATAAATTAATTATAAAAAACATGTTACATAAGTTTATAAAAATAAAATATAAATAAAAATAAAAGAGGCTAGAACACACATGCAGGAAATTAAATTATGTGTTAAAGATTATTAAGATTAACAATTTTTTTTAATGAAACTAAATAAGGTTTAAAGATTTTTTTTTCTTTAATGTATCCTGATTCACTTTCGACCATTGATAACAAGACTACATTTAGTTTCTATCATAGAGAACAAGATTTTATTTACTATGTCAAAATATATACAACACAACAAAAATATCTTAATTATTCTTCTCAAACAAAGTCTCTCTAAGGTTTTATATTGAAGTTTTTTGTTTTTTTTTTCAGAAAACATCATCTTCATCTTATCTTTCTCACAAAAATAGAAAAAAAAAAGCTATCGAAAAATAAGCTTTCAAGAACAAGAATAGAAAAGATAAACTCTAAAATTAAACAAAGTATTTAAAATATTACAAAGAAAAAGTGTTTAAAACAAAGATTCGTACTGCTAGAAAGGTTCTACGTTTTATTTTATATAGTGCTTTCAAAAGATGATCATTTAGATACATGCATACCAGTGTTCAAAGTTGTATTAAATGAGAAATATTCATTGTGGCATGCTATTACTTAGCAAATCTTCTTTTCAAACTGTACTTAAACTTTTTCTAACCATTCATCTGATTGCAATGTCTTTTCTATAGACAAACACTTTTTTTACGTGCTTCAAGTTTGAATAATTGATTATATTGTTTTTATCTCTGAAGAGGTTTTTTGTACATGATGACAAGACACATTTTCTTCAAAATATATATTTTTTTAAATGACTATAAATTTGGATACCAACGTTTCTTAGACAATATTGTTCTAATAAATAATAAAAATAATTATAAAAGTAAAAATTTTATATAAAATTATAAACTTAAATACTTCAAGTAAACGTTTTAAATTAATGAATAATTTTATTTATCAACTATTTATATTTTAATTAAATAAATTTATAAAAAAATATAACATTTAAGGTTTGTTTGATAGTAGGATATGAGAGCTATGTAAAAATAATATAAAATAAAAGTAAGATAGGATTTTATCCTATTTTAAGATTAATATATATTTAAAATAACAAACTAGATATATTATACTATCTTATCCTAAACATTTCTAACCAATATTTTTTGCCAAAGAACATTTACATCAGAAAGAATAATAAGATAAAGTTATAGAATAAACTTATTATATCCTCCAAGTTAAATAAACAAAAAATAATATCAGATAAAAATATTATCCAATCTTATTTTTTTATTATGTCCATCGTATATATTTTATATTTTTAATATAATTTCAAAATAAATATATTTATATGTTAATTTATTGATCAATACTCATTCTCAGTATCTGGTTAATTTATGTTTATTTTATTATATGACATTTTTCTTGTTCCTATCAAGTTGTTTAAAGAGAGAACAAAATGTAGAAGTCTAAGATGGTATTAACTGTATGTTTCGTTATTCTTAATTTAAGCAATAAATAATAAATTAAATTAATCTGTTAGTCTTTACATTTTTTTTTAATATGTTTAATTAAATCCTTAACAATCAATATTATTATATCTCTATTAAATATTAATGACATGTCATTTTTATTTTACTAACATATTTTTATAATTTTTATTTTTTTAAATTCCTAAATTCTATTACTAATAAGTGATAAATGATTCAAACGTAAACTAGAGATCTCTCTATCTTTTAAATTATATTTATACTCACATATTCAACACACAACAACTCAAATATAACAAACCAAACAGCACAAAAAATGGAAAAAAAATTGTATCATTCTTAAAATCTTGAAGGCTCTTAAAATTTAATTTTATAAAAAGTTTAAGTTTAAAGTCTAAGTTCTTCTGTGATAAATTTAAGATTTTATGCCAACTTTATATAAATATTTTATTATATAACAAATCAATAAAAGATAAAATAAATACTTTGAATTTATCTCTATTAGTGTGAAGAATCTGAATGACTATCAATAATTCAAAATTAAAGATATTACCCAGTAATAATATAATTAAGAATTTAAAGGAAATACTTATAAAAAGTCAAAATAGAGATGAAAGATAAGTTATCAAATTAATTCTGTAAAAGTATCATATAATTGATATTTAACAAATATATAATAATTTTAATTATTAAAAACTTAATTGAAAAAATAAAATTATAAAAATTTAAAAGTTTTAAATTTTAAAGAGTAAATTAAAAATTGTAAAAAAATTATAAGCACTAACAGATTAACTTAACTTAAATAATAATAAATTTCTATTAAAAAATAAAATAATAATTATACTTTTATTTTTAATATTATTTTTTACTTTTAATTGCTTATTAAAAAATAAAATAATAATTATACTTTTATTTTTAATATTATTTTTTACTTTTAATTGCTTATCATCCATCAATCCTTTTAAGGATTGATAAAAGATTTTATTAATTAATAAATGTGTTAAATGATATACAATAAAAATAAATAAATTTATAATATTTAATATAAAAAATATATTAGATTCTATAATATCTTATGAATTTTAATAAGTAATTGTAATACACGAATTGTTATTGAGTGTCTTTACACAAGTAAAATATTTATATTAGTTTAATAATATAAAGATAAAATAAAATATATAAATAACTAAAGGTAACATCGGTCATAGAATCCTTACTCAGATTAGTAAAGCAAGTCAATTCCCAAAATACAACAGGTTTCATTGAAAATGATTTGTTTCCTTACACGGCTTAGCAACAATAACATTCATTAATGTTAAAAAAAATGATACATTTATTGGCAGATCTCGCGATATAATGTCGGCGCGGGCGAGACGAAGTTGCCAAACGAAATCACCAAACGCTACCGTCGGAACTTTTGGAAAGCCCACAATCAAGGCTCGCCACGTATCGGAACCTAACACCTGGACGTAGGACGCGTCCGTGGGACCCACGCCGCTACCTCGTCATTTATTGGCTGATTAATGAGACGCACCCAATAAAATAACCAAAGCCCTCTCAACCCCTCACTTAAACCACGGTCCGGTTATGTCCCTCCGTCTACGGTTCGTTCTCTTTCTCTTTCCTTTGCGGTGCGACCCGAACCGGGCGCGCATGTGTCAACAACCGTGAATGCGTTCATTCATTCTCTCTCTCTCTCTCTCCCTCTCCCTCTCCCTCTCTATCACTTTCGCTGTTGCGACGCGTTTTATTCTCTCTCGGTCCCTTATAATAATTGTGTACTCGCTTTCCGTTACTCGCCGGCGCGAGACTCCGGCGGTATCTTAGATCAATCGCTGGTGCTCTGCCTCTGCCATTCAATTCAGTTGTTCGTTTTTTACCGCCCGAACGGTCTCAATTTCACGCGCGTGCGGTGCATTTCCGAACTCGAAGATCTCCTGGATTCGGTTCCGATTTGAATTGGCAGGTTTTGACGTTCGGGGTTAGTGCTTGGTTGTAATGCGCGTTGGAATTGGAGGCTCGGGTGTTGCTTGGGGAACTCTGAATCTCGGTTTGAATCTGGTGCAGTTTTGGATCTAGGAGGTGCGGAATTGAATAGAAAAGCTTTAGGGTTTGGTGTTTTGTGCATTGATAGAGAGGGTATGAAGGAGGCGTTGTTGGGGGGAGAGAAAAGTGAGAGGAAGAGAGGGAAGGTGGTTTGGGAAGGGTTAATGATGATGGGTTTGAAAGGGGAGAGTAATAATAAGCTGAAGAATTCGGTGGCTGCGGTGTCGGCGAGGTCTTCGAGGATGAAACTGTGGATGATACGGGCGACCACATCCGTGTTACTGTGGACCTGCATCGTTCAGTTAACTGCGTTGGGTGACTCGTGGGGACCTAGAGTTTTGAAAGGATGGCCTTCTTGTTTTACTCATGAATCCGCTCTCATTGAGTTGCCTTCTGCCACCCCCAGAGTGCTCCCACCCAAGAGTCTGTAATCAGTTACTCTCTTTTCGTTTTCGTCGTTTTGATCACCGTTAATCTCGTTTGTGCGTTTTTGTTATTTTAGTTAATTTGATGAGTTGTGTTTCAATTCGTTCTTTTGACTGATGCTTTTCCTAACTGTTGCCAGGGGTTTATAAAAACAACGGTTACTTGATGGTGTCGTGCAATGGTGGACTCAATCAAATGAGAGCAGCGGTAAGTGGTTGGCACATGCGTGTGGCGATTTCTTTTGCTTTTTCGGGGGTTCTCTCTATGTGCCACTGAGGAGTGGTGTGGTATTTCGGTTTGATTTTTCTGTTTTGCTGATGCAATTGTGCAGATATGTGACATGGTGGCAATTGCAAGATATTTAAATGTGACGCTTATAGTTCCCGAACTAGATAAAGCGTCCTTTTGGGCTGACCCCAGGTTAGTTTCTCCTTTCATTTTGGTGTATAGTTATAGCAATCTATTAACGTTGAGGGTGTGGAAGGCGTTCTTTCTACACGGTGTTTTTAACTTGGGTCTCTTCTCAATGACTGTATGTTACTTGTGTCAGTGAGTTCCAAGATATCTTTGATGTGGATCATTTTATTACATCCTTGAGAGATGAGGTGCGGATATTGAAAGAGTTGCCTCCTAGGCTCAAGATGAGGGTGGAAAATGGGTTACTTTACACCATGCCACCCATTAGTTGGTCTGACATATCATATTATAAGAACCAGGTTAGTTTTTATAATCGTCGGGCCTCCAATTTAGAAAGTATAAAGGTGATTTATCTTAGATTAGGCTGTGATGTTAACTATCATGATATAATGCTTCTGGACTATTTTGTTTCTGGTTTCTTGTTTGCTAATTGAGAAGTAAATGGCGTTTTATTCTTTCAGATCCTACCTTTGATACAAAAATACAAAGTTGTCCATTTAAATAGAACCGATGCTCGGCTGGCTAATAATGACCAACCTTTGGAGATTCAGAGGCTGCGTTGCCGAGTCAATTTTAGTGCTCTTAGATTTACTTCTCAGATTGAGGAATTGGGCAGAAAGGTGATCAAACTTTTGAGGCAAAATGGCCCATTTCTAGTACTACATCTGAGGTATGAGATGGACATGTTGGCATTTTCTGGCTGCAATCAAGGTTGCAATAGTGACGAGGTGGAAGAATTAACAAGGATGAGGTAAGCATTTTGCCTAGTTCAGCTGTTCCTTAATTTTCAATCATGGTGGAATTTGAAGGAGACTTGATATGAATCTTTCATTAATTTTAATTTCCTTTGCATTGGCAGATATGCTTATCCTTGGTGGAAAGAAAAAATAATCAATTCTGATTTGAAAAGAAAAGATGGTTTGTGTCCTTTAACACCTGAGGAGACTGCCCTTACGCTTAGGGCCCTTGACGTTGATCAAAACATTCAAATTTACATTGCAGCTGGGGAGATATATGGTGGGGACAGGAGAATGGCGAGTCTTGCGAAGGACTACCCAAAACTGGTAACTAACTAAAGCTTAAGGAAATCTGTGATTTTTTATTCTTGTTACTGTTTAATGTCCTTACTGTTTACCTTGCTTTTTTGAAACAGGTCAGAAAGGAAACACTGTTGGAATCATCTGACCTTCAGTTCTTCCAAAATCATTCTTCTCAGATGGCAGCATTGGATTATCTTGTCTCATTAGAGAGTGATATATTTGTTCCTACATATGATGGAAATATGGCTAAAGTAGTCGAGGGCCATCGCAGGTAAAGTTTGGCTCATAATAAATGTTATTTGTGTATCTGATTTGCTGTTCCTCCCCCCTCCTATCCTGATTAACAATTTTTTCAAATATTAATGTTTCTGCTAGTAAACTTGGTTTAATATATTTCTTTGGTAAGATTTTTGCTGCACCTCAAATCTAGAACACTTCTCTTTATTAACTTCTGTATCCACTTCTTCTGGTAGATGATCTGGCTGTTTTTTTATTAGAGATGAGGTGCCAACATAGAAAAGGCAGTATCAATTTTACTCTGATTTTTTCCCTCCTTATTGTTTGAATTGTAAGTACTTTAGCACCAAGTACATGACTTGAGCCCTTCAATTCTTCTACAGATATCTTGGGTTCAAGAAGACGATTTTATTGAACAGAAAGCTCCTAGTTGATTTGATAGATCAATACAATGATGGAGTATTGAACTGGGACGAATTCTCCGCAGCTGTGAAGGAAGCTCATGCTGATCGCATGGGTGGTGCAACCAAAAGATTGGTAATCCCCGACAGGCCCAAAGAAGAAGATTACTTCTATGCCAATCCAGAGGAATGCCTGGAACAGTCAGATGATATGTTAAGTAGTACGTGAGTGATGTGTTTGGAAATAAAGGAATTTACTTGTGCCCTCCCCTGGTGCACTTGATTTTCTGTCACAGATACTAAGATAGGTCTCTACGCAGTTTAGCAAAGATGACAGCTTTGTATCAAAGAGGCAGTCGTAGTGACTGTTAGAAGAGAGAGAGAGAGAGAAGGTCAGCCAAAGTAGCCGCGGGGGATACCTTATATATAAAACATGCAAATAATTCATCACATTCATGTATAGAAGCCACCCTGCCATTACAGGGTGAGAGCAGATCGCACTGCATCATGGTACACCGAGGGATTCATATACAAATCTGGATTTCTGGAACTGCAGTTCGTAGAAGCTTTATCCCTTGGTACCTCCCATTTTTCCTTTTTCTTATAAAGATAAATATATTATAATTTTTCCCCATTTACCACACTTTTTTTTATTCAACACTATCATTGTGATTTTGTGGACTACTCACTGTAAAATTTGTTTGTTCGTGATTTTTGCCTCCTAATTTCTTAGCTTTTGGCCATTATTCAGGGATTGATAGGTTGGCTTTTGTTTATTTATATTTGACAGAGTGTCATCTTATCCATCAAACATTTCATAGCCCATAATTCGTAATTATAATTCATGATATGATATTGTATCAACTTAATTGCAAAAGTAATGCCATCTTATCAGTCAACTACTTACTAAATAGCAAGACCAATAAACCCATCTGAACAGGGAACTCCTGTTCTCCTGTGACCGTCTCTAACGTGGTTTGGATGGAATTTGGCTTGTTTCATCGGTTGGAATGTGCATATCTTATAATTAGGCGAATTGGAGTTGGTGGGTTTTATATGTTGAGAGAGTATTTGTTCCGGAGTAGGACAGATCACAAACACCAGCAATCAAAGCCAATCAAAAGGGGTCCACTCGCTTCTTTGATTTATTCTAATATCCCAACGCAAATGATATATGATTCGTGTGGTCGGTGACACGAGAATATCCGTTGTTGATCCGTCTTGGCAACTTGTAGAAATCAAGTTGACAGAAGAATATTCGTGTGGTTGCAACACTCGCTATAACGAGTTATCACTTCGCTGTAGTGACATCTCCTCTTGGTACAGCAAAAATTTCAGATGAAATTGTATTTTAATTTCTGCAGAATCTCACTATAGCGAGACTCTCTCGTTACATCGAGATTGTATCCAAGAATATATCTCTTTTTGTTGCTCTTTCACTATAATGAGGGACTTTTTGCTACAGTAAAAACACTGCTACAACATGTACTTAGTCTATATTTTCAATTCAACCATAAGTTCACATTCATCTTTCAATCATATAATACAAACATATACATATCTATACATATTCACACACATGTTCACGTTACCATTCAATACTCATTATCATCATATAACTCAAACACACAAACACGTAACAATTTACATACATTTATATTACTAAATCAATATTATTATTATTACAAAATTCGAGGCATTATAGATTACAGCTTATTTTTTTGTTACCAAGAGCACACAAGAGGTCCCCTTTTCATTGACACTTCAATAATGTGGAGTTGAATGGTCTATGATGAAATTACAATTAATTTATTATTTAGTCTTATTTTATTATACCTTTTATATTAATTTACTTGAATTTTATTAAAAATAATATTTAAAACTTATAAGTTAGAATATTTTATAATTTTAAATTTAAATTGTAAAAAATTGTTAAATTTCAGCAAATCTATTATAAATTGAACTAATTTGGATTAATTTTTATTTTAATATACATAAACTAGATTGAAAAAATTTATAATTATATAAAGAATGGTTGGATTATGCTTAGTATAAGCATGAAACAAACAAGGTAGGATGGATTTTTTCAGGGGATAGTAAAATACCAAGTCTTGGCAAGAGACCAAGCATAGCTTATTTGTGTTGTCACTAACAAGTTACACTAACACTGCTAGACTATCTTAACAAATCCTAATGCATACCACTGTTGATTTAAGTGTGAATCTCTAGGAGTGATCACTTAGTTGATAATTATTATGTGCACAATAAATATGTGATCGCGTGAGAATTAATGTACCATATGGTATTGTCTAGATTGTGGGAACAAAACTCCCAATTAATAAACCGTAAAAACCTTAAATGATGGTTAATTAATTAGAAAAAAATACATAAGACTTGATATGTTATGATTGCTAAGATTGATTTGTTAGTTGAACATAGGAATTTGTCTTATGATTGCTTACTATTCTTAGCATTATATAACCCTTTCAAAAAAGTTTGAGTTGAATATACTCACCCTTTTCTATTTTCCTGTGTTCTTCATATTTTATCATAACAATCAACTTTAGAGGTCAGATGCATCAATGCACAATTTTCACTTTTGGAGTAGGACAATGGAATTTCAATATAGTGAATTTGACAATCATTTTTACGAGTGATATCATTTAAACCATTAGCTACATTAATAATTCCTTGGTAGCACATGGTTGTCTTTGATGTGCTAAGAGTTTAAATTTCATTTCTCATAAATTGTGCACTGCAGTACCTAGGTACCAAATTTACCTTCCTCCTGATGATCTTGGTGGTGGTGTTGGTTATTAAAAAGGCAAATGATGGTGGTGGTAGCTGATGTATATGACCTTGAATAATGTACATTTTGTATATAGTCTTTGTGTGTGCCATGGATAGTTAGATCTTTTAGGACATAGACTTTATATTAATTTTCTCTTTACATGTATTATATTTGAATAAGTAGGAGAAAAGTATTTGGGCTTGTAATGTATGACTTTCAATCAATGTAGCACTTTGTAAGATGTAATATATGATGTGTTTTATTTCCTTGATGAAGTTCAACTTGAGTGGAGCAAGTTAGATTAATTATAGTGGGATTGTTCAAGAGTACGTCCCATTGTCTACCAAAGGCAGATTTGTGATTTAATAGCTAGGATTAGTCATATTTCCAATTCTAGTGGTTAGGATACTATTTTTTGGAATCCTTTTAATGATAGTTTTTTTTTTTTTTTAAATTTGCATATAACTTAATCTCTAACCCTGTAATTGATTATTCACTTTCTAATGATATTTTTAATTTGGTTTAGAAATAGAATGGACCTCTTAAGATCAATTTGTTTCTTTGAAAAGTTGTCTATGATAAGTTGATGACTAATGATGAAAGATGTAAAGGGAGTATGTCTACTGGTAATATTTGTCCCAGATGTGGAAAGACTCCTGAAAATTAGTACGCATGTTCTTTAGAATTATTTTATGCTAATTAGGTCTGGGATAAATTTATTTTTTCAATCAATAGAGTAGTTGTTTTTAGTTATGGTTTGTTCGAAGAGCAAGTGTACCTGTCGAAAAGTAATAAAAGGGTTCTAAACTCAGTTCCTGAGATATCGTCCCACATAGATTAATTTTTAATTATTAAGAATTTTTTAATTCAATTGTTTAAGTCTAAAAGATGTGAAATTAAGTAAGAATCAAAATTTAATTATAAAATTAATTATGAATAAAAGCAAATAACACAACATACGTCTTGGTTGAACTTATAGAAGAGAAAGTTAGGGCATATGGGTTTTCTCATTCAATCTTTTATATTATTTTTCCGTTTAACTCTAAATTTGATTTCCTTGTGATTACTAATCATTCATACAAATATTATTAATACCCAATGATCATGCAATATGAATATTCTTTTTTTTAAATTAATATCTTCAATGATTATGCAAGACATCAATAAAAAAAAAAACATAAAGCGCCTATGAACTTGTTAATTTAATAACAATTGGAAGAGAAAGATTGGTTTGGTCCACCTAATCTTTTATCTCATTTTATCCTATAGATCTATTAACTAATTGAGGTACGGTCGCCTGACGATATATTTAATTAGGATTATAATTATGCGCAATAGGATAAAAGCTAATGACGAACGGAAACCAAATAAAAATTCAAACTTCAAAATTTCATAAATTCATGAACAATAGTTCTCATAGCCCTTGCTATGGACTTAGTTACTCATATTAAAGGAAAGAACTAAAATAATCATAAACAAAGCCATAATAAAAAGAAATAGAGTGTGAGATGAGTTCCCGGTCTTCAAGTACGATCGCTTGAAACTCCAAGTCCCGTCAGGAGTATGCTCAATGTTGTAACATCCTAAAATTTTTAATCAAAAAGTGTATATTTTTATTTTAAATAAATCAAGATAAAATACGATTTATTGTATATTCTAAATTTTATTATTACAAATTAAATAAAGTTCCTTTTTAGATGGGTTTGTTTATATGAAATTTTCAAACTTTGCAATGGTAATGAAACAACAATACATTTCAAACCATAATAAACCAGAATTAATTCATCTCAGTAGTAAATTTGAATATATATTACATATAATAAATATTAACATTTACAAACTGTTTGTCAAAATATATATGGGAATTAAGATAACATTTACATAACCAAAATAATTACATCATATAAGCAAATTTAAGTCCTTGAGCAGTCCCTAAAATACATTCCAACTCTGAGAACCCGGTACTAGTCGATTCTATGCCAGCTTTCTATTTCTGCCAGATCTTCAAAATTAAAATCATCGTTTGACCCAAAGTAACTATTACCTGAATCAGTTGTGACCTCTGTGCCAGTAATACACTCAAAGGTCTATCTGGATAGTCTTCCGAAATGGTCATAGTCGTGATAAGTAAATAGATAGGTGAGGACTGCTGGAGTTCTAACAATACTACTATAGATATAGATACATAGATTCTGATGTATTCTACTCCTAGTAAAATCAAAAGGGATACTATAAAAGAAGTCCATCTCCAATATAATAAAGGTCCTAAGTACATCTTCAACAAGAATAACAAACTTAAAATAATATAATCTTTGATATTTACTAAATACATAATTAAGCCTATTCTATACTGTGTTGTCTATTAACCTAACTCTTTCTTGAGACTTCATCATCTTGTTTTCCTAAAAATATTAGTAATGATGAATGTCTATTCTATCATTTACAAATTATTACATTACAAAATTATAACTTTTAATATAAAAAAATATATTCACTTTTCACTCTTATTCATATTGCAAATACATTCACATATGTACAACATAATAATTTATTATACATTATCCATTCTCTCATTTCAATACGCACTCCTAGTGCATTGTGATCACAAATCTTGACGCCTCCAGCATTTCTTGAGGTCTTACTCAATTAGGTAAATAGTCACCAGTAAGCTCATGCACACAGATACAACGTATACAATAGTTTAGCCCCTTAGCAAAGTCATAGTCAAGAATCTAGTTAGGAAATGACTGTGAGGCCAAATGGCACATTCGCTCTCAAGAAAAGTGTGTACACATATGCGAATGTCGCTCACCACCCTTTATTTTTCCTAAATTTCTCATCATTTCTAGACTCTATACCTCTAGTGTATCTTGTAACTATTCACACTAGATCCAAATCCATATTTGACAGTTATGGTCATTTTGAAATCATTTCCTCCTTCACTCATAATATCGTACTTAGTAAAACACTTCCAGACTATGTCCATTTCACTCATAATCTTTTAGCATAGTTTCAATTACTAAATTTTTTAGATCAGTATCACACTTTATCATAGCATTTCATCCAGACATATTTTATGAAATAACATCATAATCACTTAGCAAGTTTAATAATATTCCACATTGAATACTCATCATATAATGCATATAAGCATGTAACAATTATTCAGTCCAAGCAACCAATCTATCCAAATAATCAAACAAGCATATTTTCATCTATTATTCACACAATAAATATTTAACCATATATTTTTATGAAATGTCCATGTAACATTGCTCTAATGAGCACAAAATAAATACTGTAATATAATGACAAAATAGATCCATCCTTACCTTAGACAAGTTTAGTGAAAGAAATTGTGAAAAGGATGGTTCACACACCAAGATCATTCTACACCTTACAGAAAAGAGTATTTCTTGAGAAAAGAGGAAACATAGAAGAAAGAAGTGAAAACGAGGAGTTCGAGCTCTAAGATACTCACCAATGATTTTGTTGAGTTGAAGTTTGAGCTCTGATTAAGAGTAGTTTCAGAGTTTTTGAGGCTTTTCTCTAGAGAAAGGAAGAGAGATTTAAGAGAAAACAAGAGTGAAACGTGAGGTTTGGAATGAAATGAAATTTTCATGTTAAAAATCTCTTAAATACCCCTTGATAAATCCATATTTTACCATGTTTTTATCATAGTTTTTGGTTAATAATTAGGAAAATAGTTCTAAAAATAACTTGAAAAGATCACAAA